AAATTAGAGCAGGCAGCTCAGGGATATGTCCGGGGATGCATATTCCCAAGGATGGGGATCCCACAGCCTCGCTGTGCCCTGTCCCTGTGTTTATCCCAGTAAGATGCCATCCCACATCAGGGCTCCCTGCCACATCACCATGGGCCAGGCAGAGCCCCCCCCAGAGTGCCTGTGAGTGATTGTGTCCAACTTGTTCTCCCACATGGAGCAAGCCCAGCTCCTGGGGGCAAACAGCAGCCCAGGAGGGGCTTCTGTCCTTGGCCTTTGGGATCAGATTGTCTGCCTCAGTGATGCCCAGCCTGCTACTGTTCTAGACCACTCCTTGTCTCCCAAACCAGGGAGCCTTCCAGAGTACCTGAGACTGGGCTGGTCCTGCAAGTGAACCTGAAGCAAACCCACTCTTGGTTGCCATTTCACCAGCCCACACCGTTTTGTCCCTGCAAGGCTCCCGCTCCGGCACACCCCTTCCCCTTTGCCTCTTACTTTTCTATTGCCTCTGGGAAACTTCCATTTTTTCAGCCCCTTATGGATGCCAACCAACTCCCTCAGCATACTAATAGTTTGCTCCAAGCATCATTATTCAGGTTAAATACCCTCCATTGTCCCTAATCTGGTGGGGGAACGGAAAGGCCTTGTCAGTGAAAGTGCGCACAGAGGAGGTGCGCCATGGCGAGGCCATTTTCATAGTGGCGGCTTCATGATGTGGCAGAGAACTGAGGGCCACTTCCCCCAAATCATCCCGCTCCTACAGCCCTGCTGCCTCCTGGGAAGCTGACAGATCCTGCTTTTTGCTGGCCTAAAGGGGCCAGACTGTTCACTAGCACAGGCAGGGAGGTCGGATGGGGACACAGATGGGGGCACAGATGGGAGCTGTGAAGCCACTTGATGTCTGGCCTGGCTTTGGGGTGTCTCACTTGGGTGCTCCCTGAGCCTCTCAAAGCTCCACAGGCATGGGGGAAGGAGAGGTGAGCCTGAGCCTCGGAATGGGAGAAGGAGTTGCTGAGCCGGGGTATAGGGGAAAGACATGCTGAACCTGGGCATGGGGGCAGGAGATGCTGAGCCCGTTGGGCCAGGAGCCAAGGAGCCCCTGTGTGGGGTAAGATGTGGAGCAGAAGACAAGCATGTGTGCTCCAGTTGCTTCATGGCAGAGGGGAGCCACTGGAGCACAGGAAGGGTTTGTTGTGGGGGTGGTTGGAGAGCCAGTGAGGGGAGAGACATTTTGGAGGGGTTAGCAGAAGTGACTGGAGATTGTCTTGAAGGGCAGAGGAACATGGTGGCTTCTGCCTTGGGGTAGGACTCCAGTGTGGCCTGTGCCGCCTGGATCTGAGGGTGAAGCTCTGCAAGGTTGAGTGGGGGCAATTGTTAGGACACTGTCTGAGTCCCAGATGGGCAGCATCCCATGGCAGCATCCAGGCTGGACTGGTAGCAGTGGGGACCCAGTGGCAGGCAGACCCCCTGGCAGGGGAAGCAAGCAGAGGTGGGTGAGGGGAGCAGGAATTGCCTGATCCCTCCTTGAAACTTCAGCTGCTCTAGAAATCTTTTTCCATGTCCTTGGTGCCTGCTAATTTCAGAGTGGAGGTGACCCCCTTTTGCACATCCCCCCAGGGCCTTCATGTCTCAAAGGGCCACAGTGAGTCAGGAAACAAATTAAATATTCTCTGGGTTTCCTGGTGTGTGCAGGTGTCATCCCAAAAGATGCTGCATGCCCCAGTGGGGTGGGAAAGGGCTGAAGTGGGGAAGGGAATGGTAAGTCTATAGGATGTCAGGCTCCTCAGCTCCAGGTGATGGGAAAACCCCCAAGGCTGAGGAGTGATGGAGATGGGTGAGACCCCTCACCCAGGTCACCCAAAGAGAGGTGCCCCCAAGCAGCTGCTGGTGTGGGGCACCCCAGGACAGAGGCACCAGCGTCAGATGCAGTGACTGATTGGAAATATTGGAGCAAAGGCTTTCTGAGCAAGTGGCTGCAGTGCTGATCATGCACCAGAGCATCTCACTGGGAGGCTTAAAAGTGCACAACCCCTCCAATTTCATGCTGGGGTGCTTCAGCAAGGACAATAGTGCCCACAATTGCTCTGGCATGACACCTCTGCGGGGTTTCTTCCCCTTAGGGCTTTAACTCCTTGCAAACTGTATGATGCCAGCTGAAAACTGGAGCCTAATGATGGCAGCAACAGGAGGTTGTGCTTGTGTTGTGGCTCAGCTGAGGTGCTGAAGGGGTGTGAAAGCTGCTGGCAGCCCCACCACAGCCTACTGGTGTCCCTTCCTGTACAAATGTGCCGCTGGCTGGGGCTGGAGTTTGGTCCTAAATCCTATAGGGCTGAGGCAGCCTTCTCTGCTGGGGAGACCTCAGACCCCTGACCTTGACCTACCTGTTGTCTCAGCCTTTCTCCTTCACTCTTTTATCAGAAATCTCAGGCTGGGACAAGTTCTCAGAATCTGGGACTGGAGACTCAGGCATGCTGGCACTGCGTGGGCATCCTTCCCAAAATGGTCCCTGCTGGTGGCAGCTCATATTGCACTGCTTCTTTTCCCAGGGTGTGCTTTTTAGTGACTTCATCTCAAATATATGGGATTATCCTGGCAAATGAGCCACAAAACAGGCTCTTCCCTCACGACTGATTTGCTGGAACATTCCAGGCTTCCAGGGGCAATTCCTAGTGGTGGGGGTTGGTGTCCAATACGGAAGACTGGCAGCATGCTGCCTGCTCCCACAGATGGTGGGAGCAGCGGGGCAATTCCTGACAGCAAATTGTCCCTGCCAAAAGCCCCACAGAAGGGCCTGTAACCCCCACCTCCTTTTGCTCCCCAGGTCACCAGCCGTAGACCCGCACGCCCGGGTGTCCTTTCTCCTGCCGCCCGCCCGCCTGCCCCCAAAACGGAGGAGCCTGCTGGTCCCACCATGTCCTCGGACCCCAGCGCCCCGCCAGCGGTGCCACCGCTGCACTCCCCCAAGTCCCCAGTGTGGCCCACCTTCCCCTTCCAGCGGGAGGGCAGCCGCATCTGGGAGCGAGGCAACGTCCTGCTGCGGGACCTGCCCAGCCCCCTCCCCACCAAGAGGACCAGGACCTACTCAGCGTAAGTACCTGGCATGCGGGTTTGGGACCGTCCAATTGAGCTGAGCAGGGGCTGTGGTCACCTGCAGTACCTGCAGAGCCCTTTACACTGGTGCACTTTGCCAAAGCAGCGCCAGGCATCGCTGCACACACCTGCCAGGGGTGCTGCGGGTGGGTGCCGTGCACTTTCCCAGGGGCCATCGTGTGTTCATAGCAAACCTCTCCTCGTGCTGCCCCTCGTGTGAGTGCCACCAGTGAAAAATCTCCTTCCCTTTCCTCCCGCAGGACGGCGCGTGCCTCCGCCGGTCCCATCTTCAAAGGCGTCTGCAAGCAGTTCTCTCGCTCCCAGGGCCATGGGTTTATCACCCCTGAGAATGGCACAGAGGACATTTTCGTGCATGTGTCTGAGTAAGTCCTGGGGTTGTGTGGTGCCAGAACACCCCGGGGGAGCCATGCCAGCAGGGGAATGGAGACTTGTGGGCTGGGGTGTGGATCTCTCCACTGATTGGGAATGGGGCTCTTCCTGCCCTCTACCCCTCATCACCTGTGGGTTTTCTTTCCCCAGGCACATCTGGTGGGTCGGGTGCCTTCCTTGGTTCTGGGTGGTCTGGGGCAGGAGTTCTGTGTCTTGGCTGCAGCCCCACTATCTCTCCTTTCCTCTCCCACAGCATCGAGGGGGAGTACGTCCCAGTGGAGGGGGATGAGGTGACGTACAAGGTCTGCCCTATCCCTCCCAAGAACCAGAAGTTCCAGGCGGTGGAGGTGGTCCTCACTAACCTGGCGCCGCACACGAAGCACGAGACATGGTCTGGCCAGATCATCGGCTCCTAGGCGCCCAGGGGGCTGCCGGCCACTCAGCCCCACGGAGCAAGCCTGCCCGGCCGCTCGCAGGGGGCGTGGGGGAGCCGAGGCGGTGGTGGGGCCGGGGCTGCCCCCGAACATGCAGGCGTTTGCGTTCAGTGTCTTTTATAAGGTTACGGTTTCCTTTCTCTGTGTGTGTTTGTAAGTGTCTGTCGAGGGGGACAGGGGAAGCAGAGCCCTCCCTGGCCGCCCCCAGCTCTGGGGCAGCACCGAGCCCCATGTCCCCTATTCCTTGCCCCCCGAGGCCATGGGGAACAGAGCCCCCCAGCCCTCCAGCTGCCCTGGGCTGAAGCAGGTGCTGAGAGCAGGAGGGGGCATGGGGAGGCTCAACCTCCTGAATCCCACTCTGGCAAGATGGGAATCCCACTTGGTTCACAGTGGGATGTGCCCTGGGGCAGGGGCAAAACAAGGTGGTGTGGGATGATGTATCACTGTGCAGGATCTGGGTGGCTGAGACCCATCCCCATTGCTGGCAGCTCACAGCACCCACCTGAGCCACATTCCTCCATCACAAGATCTCAGGTCAGCGGTACCACGAGGAGGTGAGTGACTTACAGGAAGCAAAGATTTAGTTTTACAAGACTAACAGCTGCTGGCAGGGCACTGGGGGCACTTGGTGCTGTGCCTGGGGGGCTGCACCTGGGCACGGGGCAGGGGGGCACTTGGCACCTCTGTGCTCCCCACCACTGCCGGGCCAGTAGCGCACTTTTCTTGGCTTGGTGCTGACATGGTTTTGGGGAGATGGCCGCTTTCTCCTCCTCCCCTTGCCCCCCCAGCCCCCTGGGGACCCCTCTTCCCATGCGTGCGCGCGTGTGTGTGTGTGTGTGCATGTCTGTAGCTTGCTGGGGTGGTGAGGGGCTGAGGGGTCTGAGTAGCCCCAGCTGTGGGGCGAGCACAGCCCCCTCCTCCCCAGCCCCTCAGTGTAGGCAGGGTCTCGTATACAAAGCACAAACTTAGTTTTTGGTTTCTCTGCCATACCCTGGCCAGGTGGGCTCCCACAGCTCCAGGGAGGGACAGGGACAGTGTGCACTGGGCTGGTCCTGAGCTGACCCCAGGGAAACAGCACCTGTGCTGATGCTCTGGGAATTATCAGCATCTTAAAAGATTTATTTCAAAGCAGGGTTGGGAACAGTGGGGTGCCAGTAGACCCTCTGAGCAGGGCAGGAAGTGACAGCCAGCTCCTGGGGCACCTGCTCAGCAGGAGGTGCCAGCTGGTCCTCAGCATGGACCAGCGTGGGGGTGTTTGCCACCTTTCCTGCCATTGTTGTTGAGAGGGATAAGTGGGGAGAGGAGCGGGGCACGGCTGGTGCCATGCAGGACAGCTGGGCCTTGTGGATTCAGGAAGACCACCACATGCTACCCCAGACCAGGCTGGTGTGGGGACTGCCCTGGGACCCTCTGGCCTGTCTCACTGCCAACTGAAAGCCTGGCTCTTCCAGGGGCTGTGGCAACCCTGGCTCAGGCTCCAGGCATACCCAGGACATGCAGTCAGCTTGGCCAAGGCAAACTGATTTTTAGTTTCTCTATTTTTTTTTTTTTTAAATAAACTAAAACCCTAGACTTGTTGTTGTTGGTTTTACAACTCCAGTGTGGTTCCCGCCTGTCTGACCATGTGTCAACCTTTGTAACATTGGCAATAAACCATTAAAAGTGACTTTCCCATGAGCCCTGCCCATCCCGGCTTTTTGTCCTGTGTGTTTGTATCACAGTGGGGATGTTGGTGATTCTCTCAGGTAAAGGACCTGGAGCACCCAGGGATTAATCCAGGCGTCAGAACAGATTCACCCACCTCCGCACAGTATGTCCCGGGGGGCTGGGAGGGCTCCAGCCTTTGCTCACGGGGAGCACACTGTGAGCCTGGGATGGGAAGCTGCTGCCCACCATGAGGGGTGACCAGGACCGAGGCTGGTTCCTCACTGCTGTGGGCATTTATAAGTGTGGCTGCCTGTAGTCTGGCTGCCTTTCACCCCCACACAGCCCAGCACAAAGCACATGCTGCCTCCAACTGCTGCGTGTTGTGGCTTTAATAGGATTGATTTTAATTTTTTTAATATACGTATCTATGTATTTAAATATATTTCTTCTTTAACAGTTGGTATCAGCCAGACAGGAGCCGCCCATCTTGCACGGATATGGAGACACGTAGCAAGACAGTCCCGGGCGTGGGGCCTGCCACACCTGCTCACTCATGCACAGGGAGAAACCCCCACTTGCTCTGTGGGCACCCACCGTGACAGGAGCATCAAAGGGGTCTCAGCGACAGGCATGAAACGTCCCCTAGGTGTAGGGCTCCCATCCCTGTGTCATCCCTGCCTGCAAAAACACAGCATGGGCAGCCAGGGCTCTCAGTGGCCCTGCTTGAGCAGGGGTGTGGGACCAGGAATCTCCAGAGGTCCCTTCAACCTCAACCATTCTGTGGCTCTGACACCCTGTGGCTGCCCCACCTACTTCTCATGCCGCCATCCTCCTCCTCATCCCTCTTGGCCTCTTGGGTGTCCAGGTGGGAGATGCCCTCAACTAGCCCAAGCTTGGTGTAAGAGAGAGGAATGGGGACAGTTCCTGAACCTGATCCCACCCATGCACAAGTGAGCTCCTGAGAAAGCGATGGCTGGTGCCTCAAAGGTCATCTCTGTCTCTCTGCTCTGCTCAACCTGCAACTCACCCCATCCTGAGCAAGGGACATACTCCCACCAGGAGCAGCCTTGGACAGAGCCTGCCTTTCCCTTCATGCCAGCCCCCATGGCCACCATGGTGCCCCATGCCGTCAGGGCTAGGCCCTGCTCTTCACTAAACTCACTAGAGGTCCAGCTGGCTTTGAATAGACTTACAGGAAAAATAAACTCCCCAAGACTCACATGTAACCTGATCCACAGTGAAACACAGAAGGAGGAACCACAAAACACACAATTCCTCCATGAAGGTTGCAGTGAAGGGCCAAAACCTGTGACCTGTGAAACGGGTACCCTGCATTCAGGCTTCTCCAACAGGTCCTCTTCTCCCACACAGAAATCTTCTCTGGGTAGAAGGAGGAATTTGTGCATTTGTTGGGGATTTCCAGATGCCAGGCAGACAGCTGCACTCATGCAAATGTGATGCATCAGAGATCTGATGTGTTGTAGTTAAGATGTGCAATTAAGTGGAGGAGACAGCACCCCACCAGCATTGGTCATACAGTATCCTTGCTCCTGCGGCCAGGCAGCCGCTTGGAACTCTGCCCATGGCAATGGGGGAGCCCTGCCCTGGGTCTGAAAGCACCAGTGTATCTCACCTCAGGAAGGTGGTGGTGCCTTGCTTAGGTGGCAGTAGGCAGCTGCGAAACTTCTCTCTGCAGTCCAGCTGCTAGTGGGAGATGAAGAGCAACGGTGAGGAAAGCAGGAAGAGGAGAAAAAGGGTAGAAAAAACAGGAGCAAGAGACAGGGCAGTGCCATACCACCAGGGATGGGCTGAGAAAGACTCCTGGGGAGCAATGGTGGGAGGTTTGCAGGAACCTCCAGCACTCTCCAGGTCCACAAACGCCAGATCGCGTGTCTGGAGGAGCTACAAGCAGGACATCTCCCTGAGCTCCTTTTGAGCACTAAATTATGACTAGTGCTACTAGTGTGGCCACACACCCTAAGGTAACTGCCGGGAATAAGAGGGAGAAGGTCAAGGGAGAGATGTGGGTTTGCAACCCACAAAGATCCAGGGAGAGGAATAGGACAGGCAACGGCTGCACTAGACACCCTGCCTCCCTAAAGATGACCATGTAAACTGAGTGTGTGGGACAAGACGGGGTAGAAAAGCAAGCTTGGAGGGCACTGCTTGGGAGGTGCCTCCATTGGCACTATGAACCACATTTGGCCTGTGTTGGTCCTCTCTGAAAATATCTCTGGCAGCAGGATGGAAAGCTGAGCACTGGAAAGCAAGGAGACTTGGTCTGTTATGAATGCCCTGGGTAAGGTTTTACACAGGCACATCTTTCTAACGAGGACAGACTGCAGGAGCTGGGCCTGTTTAGTCTAGAGAAGACTAAGAGGGGAACTCATTAATGCATATAAATACCTCAAAGGCAGGTGCCAGGAGGATGGTGCCAGACTCTTACCAGTGGTGCCCAGCGACAGGACAATGAGCAACGGCCATAAACTAAAAACACAAGAAGTTTCACCTCAACATGAGGAAGAACATCTTCATGTAGAGGGTGGCAGAGCAGTGGAACAGGCTGCCCACGGAGGTCCTGGAGTCTCCCGCTCTGGAGACATTCAAAACCCACCTGGATGCATTCCTGCTTAACCCACTCTAGGTGACCCTGCCTTAGCAGGGGGTTGGACTAGATGATTTCCAGAGGTCCCTTACAACCCTAACAATTCTGTGATTCTGTGGTCTGTGTCACCTAATGGACATGGGACTGGGAAGGCCATTGGAAAGCCTTCTGCCCCAAACTGCTCCAGAGCATGCTCTGCACACACCAGGTGCCAGCATCCTCCAGCCATGCCAGGCAAGGTCTGACTTGAACATAGAGAATAATAATATAGAAAATAAACCCTAGGGGGCTTTTGTAAGCTATAGAGAAGAACTGGTTTCTTCATGCACCCGAGCAAAGCTCAGAGCAGCAGCCCAGTAATTTTAAAGCTATTGTTCCCAGGTCACCTGTAGGGAGGGACTGGCACAGTGTGGCATTGAGGGCAAGGACATGGTGACCTCTCCATTAGAATGCACAATGGTGCAACAAGATGGGATCCCAACTATTCCTTCCTACCAAGGCTTGGAGCAAACAGCCTTCCTGGCTTCTTGCCTTGGAGCAGCTCCTGTGAATGTCTGCAGCCTCAGCAGCCCTGGCCTCCTGGGCCAAGGTACAAGGGAGAGAGAAAGATGAGAAGCATATTCCCTCATGCAGAACTGTTAAGAGAAACAGAGTGGAAAAGGAGAGGAGAGGGAGCATGGGGAGGACACACACATGCTCTCGACTGTCCCTTTCAAATGCTTTCCAATCACAAAAGCATCTGCATCACCTCCCACCACAGCCGAACTGTCAAGAGAGAAGTTTTTCTGAAGGCGAGGAGGGTCTGGTGCCACGACCCCTAGCCACAGATGGGGAGTGCCGAAGGGCTGCTCAGCTAAGGCTCCTCCTGCCACCCGCCCGCACTCGTGTTACATCCTCACCAGCTCTGTAAAGTGTTTTTTTGGTCTACCCTGAGCAGATTCCTCAAATCAAGGTGCTTTTCCTGGTGGGGGGAGAGAGTGGGACTGGGGCAGGGCTGCAAGGACCTGGCAGTCAGCACTCATTGGCTCTTTCTGGAAAGAAGATTTCGCGGCATCGCTGGACCGTGTCTTGGGGGGACTGGACACTGTGTCCCACAGTGCGGGGATCGTCATAGATTTCATAATCGTTCCCTCCCTGCAGGGAATAGAAAACAGGGACAGCATTAGCAGGGTCTTGCCAGAACCACCTCATCCGTGAATCTGCATTTTGCCCTGTCCCCTGGGGAGCTGGGGTGGGAGCCAGCAGCTGGGCAGGCAGGGGTGGGAAGGGGCAGTCAGGGCTTTCTTGGCCCCAAGGGCTGGGAATTCTGCTCCCTCCCTCTTGCCTCCCCTCTTTAATGCCAGAGGAGGAGCATAGACAGGATGGGGAAGGTCCCAGACCAGCTAAGCTTGTCCAGGAGCCTGGGGTTAACCCCTGCCCTGCCTGTGGAGTGGTTAATAGAAGGTTACCCCTGTGGAAGGGTGGGCACATTTGGGGAGCAGAGGTTGCTGGAATCTGGAAAGAGCTGAGTGGATGATTAATCTGGTCTGCAGCAGCAAGGAAGCATCATCTTCCACTGCTCTAAAGGGAAGGTGAAGCCGTTCTTGCTGTTGAGAAATCCTCTCCTGAGTGTTGGGGGCTTGTGTTTGGGGTCGTTCAGGCTGCAGGAGTGGCTGCCACCCTACTGAGGATGCTGGGGTAAGGAAAGCAAGGCTGAGGCGGACCTGCTTCCCAGCACAGTGAATCTGAGGTGATTTCCCCACAACCCAGTAGGGCTGCTGCCATCACAGAGACCACCACAAACCCACACCACAGGATAGCATCTTCCTTCCTCACACTAAAGGTCTGTATTGGTGCCAGTAGGACCAAAGCCATGGGGCCCTTCATAGAGCAGCTCCACACAGGAGAGAAAGCGGCCATGTGCGGGGTGAGTGGGGAATACTCACAGGGGTCGTCTCATTCCCAAAGAAGTGGATGGTGTCGAATCTCTCGTCATCGAGCACATTGAGGCAGTAGCGCTTGTCCCAGCCCTCTGGGAACACGTCAAAGCTGATCATGCCACCTGCCAGCAGAAGGGAGGGCATCGGGAAATGTCACTGGGAGCTGGCAGGGTGTCCCACCCTGGGATGGGCAGGAGGATGGGAAGGAGTTGGATGTCTGTGCAGACCCACCACTCCAAACAGCAGCCATGAACACCACCAGCTCTGCCTGGGTGTTCCTCTTGGCATGTGGCTAGGATAGTGGCCGAGGCTGTTCCTATGACAACAGGCTGGAGTGACATCAGTATGGCTGGGGTGACATTAGCACAGCTTCCCTGCAGGCAAGCAGGAACCGGCAGGTTCCTCCCAAGAGAGGCATCTGTTGGGGGAGGTCTGGGGTCATGCCTTGTGGATAGCACCAGCACGTTCTGTGTCCCAACAGGGGACAATGACCTAGGAGACTGGCACCAGGCTCTCTGCTAGGCTCCTGCCTGGACATCCCTCATGCTTCCAAAACCACTGTTCTGATGCTCCTTAGCCGTGCAGGGACTGGGAGCTCCATACACTGTCTGTACATACTGATAAGGACCTTGCCACAGAGGTACCACGAACCCATCAACATAATCAGGGTGCGACCCCGGCCCATCACCTCTTGACATAAGAGCTAAGTGAGGGTTGCCAGCATCTGGAGGGGCACCAAGTCAGATGTGACAAACACACAGTGGTCAGGGAGTTTTCCCAGAGAGCCTGCATATGGACATGGACACCCACAGCCAGCAAGGGTTAACAAACTTCCCAGCCCCTGCTCTTAGACGAGACAGAGTTTACCCCAGCACTGGGCTGCCTTTCTGGGGCGCTTGGAGGCAGCACCTTCTCCATCCTCTCAAGGTGCCCCACTGCATGCACAGGCTTGTCCCAGCACCAAGACAGGTGACATGTTCCTCCCAAAATAAAGCTTGTGACTTAGGGCATATATATGTTTAGGTCTCCCTCAGAGCCAGAGAAACGGGGATTTGAGCTGGGATGTACATCCTCCTGCTCATCTTCTCCAGGAAATCTACTGGAGTATCCACCAGAAACCCTGGTGTTTCACACTCTCCTTCATAAATGATAATCCTACCTTTCTCTAAGGAAGGTGGTGAGTTGACAGACACCAATCCCCAGGGCTGCTCAGCCATGCAAGTCCTGATGCCATGATCCTCCCCTCCCTGGCTGTTTTGAGTGTCCCTATTGGTTTGGGGATTCCAAACCAAGCCTCCTTGGAGCCTGAGGAGCTTGAGCTTGAGCCTGTGCATCCAACTTGGAGCAGAGGAACCAGACAGGATGCCCTGGACAGAGCACTGTGATATAAATGGGAGCAAGTGCCCTATGAGCTCAGGGATGGGGATGTCCCCGAGCTTGCAGCAGGATCCAGCATCTGAGCAGGAGCTAAACTTGGTTGACATTATTAAAATCCTTCCTGGTTTTGCATCCAAAGCCATTTACCTGTGAAAAACACTGCCTTTCACAGCATTCTAGCCTTTCAAACAGAGTTGGGAAACAAGAAGGGGCTCCTGATGCCAGCTGGAACAAGAAAAGGTGGTGTTGAGGAGAGCCAGCACTGTCCCTCACCTAGGCAGAGCAGGGGTCTGGAGGGGCTGCAGGGAGATCTCCCACCACCTCTGGGCCTTGTATCCTCCAAAGCCTGGGAGAAGGCACATGAAGCCAGCTTGGCAGAAGGGTCCCCTTTTCATGTGCCCTATTTTTGGATGACACCCCGTGTTTTCTTTGTGGATGAGTGGAGGGCCTGCAGCTCCTCTTGTCTTCATGCTTTTACACAACAGGCCTGGGCTCTTCATGGCAGCTTCCCAAAGTCAGAGGAGAAAGGCCCATTGTTTTGCTCTCACACCCTGTGAGTGCGGGGACAGAGTGGCAGGGACCTTGTCTTTCTCTGCTGTAACAAACAGTGTGTGTCAGTGCTGTGGGCAGCACAGGATGCCCCTGGTAGGATGCTGAAGGCAAGCAGAAGCTCTCAGAGGAAAGCCCTTGGAGGACCAGATCCTTGGTACTGGCCCACATTGGATACAGGAGTGGGTGTCACCCGCTGCCTCTCAGCCTCACCATCCCACTGCCCTTTGGCTGGGCTGACACAGGGCACCTTCTTATCTCACACATATCTACCTGCCCTGCAGAGGGTCTTCTTCCAGCATCATCCCCACCACTTACACACCCTCATTTCTCTCCCCTGTCCTGGCCAGACCCCCAGGATTGCTCAAGCCCCTCCTGTGGTTCCTCACCTTCAGTGAGCTGGCTGTAAGAGCCACACCAAGAAGTGGCCCTGCAAAAGCCCATGGCACGGAGCTGCAAATTCCTTATCCCTTGTCAGCTCTTTTTCCAGGAAAAAAGATGTTTCCCTTGCACCCCACCTTCCCAAGAAAATCCCAGAGCCCAGACACACATAAGGCTCCTGTCTCATTCCTAGAGAGGAGTGCATGTGTTGGAGCTCTGCTGGCTGCCCTGTTGCTGATGCTTCAGCCAGAACAGACCCTTTGGGCAGCAGTGGGTTCCATGAACTGAAATTAAGGCAGGGATGATGTTATGGAAACCTTCCTGTCCAGTCAATTCCCAGGGAGGCAAATCTGCAACGCAGTTTATTCTCTGCTGTGGCCCTGTCATGGATGCGAATGCAATGCCCCTGTGGCAGCTCTCCAGGACTAAAAGCTCCTTCTGCTCTTCTCAAGGTCTCCAGGCCCTCAGAGGGAACAGCTGGGATTCTTGCTCCCCTTCCCAAAATTTCATAGAAAACATGATAAAGACAGAGCCAAGGAAGCCCTCCCAGCTCACCTCGGGAGAAACGCAGGCCCTTGCCAGCAAACTCCCTCTGCAAGGCTGCCACAAACTTCTCCCGGATCCGCTCTTTCTGTGGAGGAAAAGGAAGGAAAGAGAAGGAAACAGGGTTTGAAAAATTAGATGCTGACAGTCTCTTGGAATCCACTGTAACCTGTCTGCTGGGCAACTCTGCCTTATTGCTTTGCTCCCTTCCCAACTATCCTAGGCCATTTAGCCAACTCCTACCAGTCCTGCCCACTGCCCAAGTAAAAGGCCATCAGCTCAGTCCATGGGGAAGAGCAGATCCCAGCCCTTCCTTGGCAATGAAATGCAATTGTTTCAGTTTCCTAGAAGACCAGTTCATAACCCAAAGTCTCCAGTTTTGATTAAGAAGTCTTGCAAGGACCAACTGATCCCTCAACCCCAAGAAAGCTCCCCCAGGTGTAAACCAGTATGAGCAGGGGCCAAACGCTCCAGAGACCTGCCCAGGAGATCTCTGGTGTCACTCTTTGAGTCTGGAAAGCTCATCAGTTCCAGCTCTGTTGCAGCTGGGAGAGTGGGAGAGAGGATAGGTGCTGGGCCATCTTTGGGTACTGTAAATGAGGAAACATGCTGTTAAATAACTGCCTTATTCCCTGTGGCTCTCCCACAGCACAGAGAATCCTGCTGGACACCCCTTCACACTGGTGGTCCCCAATGAAATCCAATTCTTCCATTCATCTACGTCTCCCCTCAGGTTTTCTGATTCCCAGTCCTGTCTCCACCTTGCTGCATATGTGCCCAGCTTGGAGCTGGGCTCCCTTCTCCTTGGGAAGGGGAGAAGAACATAAGACCTGAGATCTGTGGTTGTGCAAAACCAGCAAAGGGGAGGGTGAGCCCAAGTCTGGCCTGCGTACCTTGTCCAGCTCAGAGAACTCAATTCGCTCTTCTGGGGTGCAGCTTCTTCCGATGGGGGAGATGTTCAGCATCCCATTGCGAAACTCAATGAAGGTTCCTCTGTGGATGGGCAAAGGGAGAAGGTTACTGGGGCAGGGAGAGAAAAACAACCTTTACAGGGGAATGGCTGCTTAATGAGGCTCTGCAAGGACATGCAGGAGGAGAGAAGCCATGCCCACTCATGGGTGCTTCACGCCAGGAAGGGACCAGGTAACAACAACTGCTTAAGATCCCCCTGGGGTGCATAGTTTTATAAAAAGAGACTGTAAGAGAAGAGGAATAAACAGTTCTGTGTGCCCTGGGGACAGGCTGGACACAAGGAGCTTAGGTAACATTTTCTAATGTTGTGATAACTGCAAAGACAGCTATTGCCTTGCCTGGACCAACTGCCTGATGAGACTGTGGCATCTCCACCCCATGAGGCTTTTAAGAAATACTGTGTGGCCTGTGAAGCTTGGGCAGTGCAATAGCACAGGTCAGCGTAACTCACTGCTGATGTCCAGCAACTGGCTGAGGAGCAATCAGGCAATTTGTGTCCTCGTGGGACACAAATCAGGGCCTTCGTATCTCCCATTTGACCCCTGAACCTTTGACTGCAGCTCTTATCTAAGCTTGCCCAGACAGCATCCAGTTCTGCATACCACCCTTGCTGCTGGGATCACTGCTAGGCTGCTTCCTCAGTGGGCTGGTTGAAAGCATTGAGCCGGCAGAAAACTGCTACCTTCTTTTCTCTCTGCTGTAAACCCAGCTAGTTCTGTTTGCTTGTCAAGGGGCCAGACAGGTACCAGCACTGGTGGTGCAGAAACAACAGGGCACGGCAGCACTGCTAATGTGAAAACAGATTGAAGCTCTTGTGGAAACCTAGCTGGAGCAGAGGGATCCCCTTCCCTGTCCAGCGGAGGATTCCTGATCACATTTAACCCTCTGATGTCCCTACCAGCCCTGCCTACTGTTTCTCTGTGATAAAGTGAGTCTGGAGGAAAAAAGTTCTTCCCCTCCTGTCCCATTACACAGTGAGGAACACCATGGGGAACAGACACACAGGCAGCCATGCCTGCAGCCTGGGAGCAGCATCTCTGCAGCACCCAGGGTTTGGTGGCTCATGCCCCAAGTCAAGACTCAGGAGATCTGGGTTAAAGTCCTTGCTTTGCTAGAAATCCTATAAGCCTAAATCCACAGAGCTACTTGGGAGCTGAAACTTCGCCAGGCTGTTGGGTAACTAGACAGCAGTGAGGCAACCAAACAGCCTTGAGGGTTCTGGGTCCCAGCCTGTGCTTTCAGGGGCCTGTTCAGCCAGCAGTCTTGTTGCAAGGAGCCACCCTAGCCCCTCTCACCAGTCTTTGTATTGCCACATAGTGACTCATATCAAGCAAATAATCTGGATCACAGTGTAGCAACTTTTACCAGCTTAATCTCGACCCAACAGCTCACCCGCTCAGGTTCACTGTACAGACACATGAGGAGAGCAGGAAAAAAACATCCAGGGCGAGGGGGAGACAGAGCTGCTGCTTTCAACAGCACTGAGTGGCTCACGCATTTGTGAAACTGTGGTCTGAGGTGGGGTTTGACCCTGTACCCAGGCTGGCTTGACTGCAGGCTGCCTCTGAAAGAGGTCCTCCTGCTCTACCCTTCCACTTTCATGCCATCTATTCCCTCTCTCTCCTTTCTGTACTAACAGGGTGAGCTGATCCAATGGAAAACTACCCTTTTCTGTCCTGGTAGTCGTTTAGTCTTCCTTCAGAGGAGGTGTACCAACTCAGCTCCCCCTCTGGCTGCTGGATATCAAGGGGAAGACCAGATAGGAACACATGGCTGGGAGTAGGGCAGGGCCAGCCAGTGACACTGGTTTAGAAACAGTGAAACCGTGTGCTCAGGCACTGGACTTCCCATCTTAAGATCCATTGTTTGCCTGTTTGGAAACTCATATGACCAATAGTGCCTGATGCCTTGACCAGTAACGAGCTGGCACCCGTTGTCCTAAATTGGATACATGCAGTGGCTGCACCTTGCTTCCCCAGGAAGAAAATCTGAGGGGCCAAAGAACAGTCATTATGCTAAAACATAATGCAGACTCTTCAGAACAAAGACTCTCCTCCTCCTGCCCAGGTCAGTGGGACACTGATCCTACACAGTGCCTCTAGATGCTAAGATAAAACCTGAAGCAAGACAAGCTCTGTAGCTCAGCTGTTTTTAGGAGAGCTCTGGAGCCCAGGGCTCCCTAGAAATTAGTGTTATGACTACCATTTACAAGCACTTGGGCCGTTACCGTTTCTTGGGCAGCTTCAGCAATGCCATGTAGTTGAGACAAAAGTTGATCAGATCCTGCAGCAGCTCTTCCCCCAGGTGGTCCTGAATGGCCTGCATGAAGAGAAGGGGAAGTGAAGAAGATGCCTGACTCCCTAGGAAGCCCACCTAGAAGAGTGGGACATTCAGATCTGGCAACTGGGGAGAAGAGGCTGTGTGGGGCAGGCGCTGGTCCCCACGGCGAGCAGGGCACAGGGCAGGAAAGCCACGGCTGCAAAGGGAGCTGGACCTACCTGCTTGGAGACCAGCTGCCCATTCTTGTATTGCACTGTGCCGTTCTCTGCGAAGACATAGTCAAACTTTTCAATGACTGGGAGGGGAGGAAGCAAAAGAGGAAACATGAGTATTGCCTGGGAAAAACAGTGAAAAAGACTGGGCTTAGGGCTGAGTGAGCCATCCTCCTGCTTCCATAGTCCCACACTTTCCAGAGCGCCTGTGCTCTGCAAGGGGCCACTGACCATCCTACTCTCCTTGCTTTCCACAAGGCGGATGAGATTATCTTCTGCTCACGGGTGGGGAGCTGACGCACGCAGGGGGAAACGACCTGACCGAGGTCACGGACTGAATCAGTTGCAGGAGAAGATAAGGGCTCCAAAATGTCAGGCTTTCAAATACATGCGTGTTACTCTGCTCTCTCCTCTGCCCTCCCCAGTGCCAGGCTGCCGGGATGATGTGGTTACTGGTTATCTAATTCCAGCCCCTCCTGCAACCCAGACACGCAGCACTGGCGACTCAGCAATCCGCCTCAGCCGGGAATTTCTCGGCCTCCCTCTGCTAGCGAAGCGGGAGGCAGAGCTTGGAGCCCAGTGGCGCTTGTTATCCATGCCGGAGAAGGAAAACACGGTGGAGGGAGCAGGGGCTTCCCTCTTGCCCTCCCACTCCCTTCTCTACCCCGTGTCCCCGTTGGAACCTGCCGGAGACCCCACATGGAGCAGCAGGGAGGCAAAAATTGCCGGGGGATGCTGCCCGCTGTATGTGGGGGCGCAGCTGTCAGAGCCCTGATGAAGCTCGTACAAAACTGACGCTGGAGTCAGCAGCGTGGATCGGAGCATCCCTGCCGGCTCTCCACAGAGGGAGGGGGAGCCAAGCAGCAGCTCCGCCTGGGCGCCGCCAGCCTCCCCAGGGGCAGTACTGGGATTGGATTTAGAGCACAGGTGACCCCCGGGAGACCTCGTCGGCCACGTCTCACCTTCGTCCCCGTCCCCCAGCTGCTCGGCTATCTTGGCATAGTCGGAGCCTCCCACCACGCCGATGTGCACCCTCTCCCGCAGCTCCCGCAGGAACGCGTCCACCTCCGGCTCGATTTTCTGGAGGGGAAGCAGCGGGTGAGGCCGGAGCCGACGGGACGAGCTCCGCCACGCTGACCTCGCCCCCGCAAATAAAAAGCCCACCGCCGCCGCGCCTCGCTACCTGCCGAGCCGGCGTCAGGGTCCCGTCCACGTCGAAGAGGCACAGCACCCGGCCCCGCGCCGCCGCCATGCCCGCCGCCGGCCCGGGCTCTGCGGGCGGGAGGCGGGACCGCGCCGGGGAGGCGATGGCGGCCGCCCGCCCTCCCCGCGCCCGCCGGCGGGACGTGCGGCCGCCGCCTCGGCACCGACCGGGGGCTCCATCGCCTCGTCAGGGGAGCCGCAGCGTGCTGGGCGTGAACGGCGTCCCCGCTTCAGCTGTCTCCTTAAATCCTTGGCTTTAGAGCCCTAGCGAGGGACCTGGGAGTCTGGAGGAGGGACGGTGTGGGGAGTGCGTGTTTTCACATTTGCTGCAGTGCCCCCCGGAACTGAGGGGCTGTGGGTCTGGATTAAGCTGCCTGGTAAACTCAGCTTCCCTGGGGGTTTCTGTGTCCTAGCGAAGGACACTTCCCACTGTCCAGCAGCACACACTCACCCACTCAGTCCCTGTGCCTCATCTTGCTTTTCCAATAGGATTAGCTATTCGTAGCTAATGTTCCACTGGAGAAGTGAAAATACCCTCTGCACAAAGCTAGTAACTTTTGCTTTGACCTGCTCACAAGTCATTCAGGATTTAATTAGACCATCTGGTCAGATCATATTCACATGGCTCCGTATTATGCTGGCCTGATAAGTGACATTGAAAACCCCCTCCCCACTGCCATCTCCTACAATAATTCCTGAATTATTTTCTGAAATCAAAACCAACCTATGTGGAACATTCAATGCTTTCTGCTAAACAGTTAGCTTGCATTCCCTTCCCCAATGGTGCTCAGCACCAAGCTAGGTTGGAATTGGGGGGCAGGCATTTTTTTTACTGTTTTTTTCTCATTATTATTTGTTCTAGGATATTTTGCAGTCCCTTTTCCCAGTTCTCCACCAGATTCCTCTCAAAATGAAGCATCCAGGTGGCTTCACAGATTCTGGGTTTTTGTTTGTGGTTTATGATTTTCCTGCTCCCACTCCGTGAAAGGGGGGGTGTACAGAAACAATGTTAATAATTTTGGTTTACCAACACATCCTCAGCTACTTTCTGGGGGACACATTAATTGTCCATTGGTTAATGCCACCAGGACAGCTGTTTCCAAACTGTTTTTGTGAGTTGCCTCCACAACAAAGTGAGGTCAGGCAGTCTTGGACGGGTATTACTATTGTTATTTGCCCCAGCATTGATTTTCTTGCAGAATCACAGCCACTGGAGCCTTCTGGATTAGACCCAGTTATGGGCTCCCACCTCTGGAAAGCAGGACTCTTTACTCAGATGCATTGAAGCTTCCAGAGTGGTTTCTCAGCACCCAACTGCTTTGTATGCAATTGAGCACTGAATTTTTAGTTGAGTTTAGGGTTATGTTCATTTATAGCACTTGTCCAGGTGTGGTTACATATATCATCAGTCAACATGTGGATGCTTACTCCAGAATATGAACACTTCAAAGTGTGCCTACCATGGCATGCTGACAAGTGAGCAGAGGTGCCCTCACGTGTTTGGGGTGCGCGAGTACCAGAAGCCAAAGAACTGCTCTCCCACGTAGCAGGGCCGTGAGCTAATGCCCAGGGCTCTCAAAAGACAGCCGTGGGGTCAGATACACAGCGAACTCCCAGGGTTTCAGGAATGCAAGCCTTTATTTTCCATAGGCCACGGTATGGTATAGGGACGAGACTTCCCAGTCTGGATGAAATAAGCATGGATTTAGGGAAACCTGCCAGCTCACACCTACTGCAGCCCTGGCAGTGTAGTGTCCTTGCTACCAGGCACTTGCTGAGGTCCAAGCTGCTCCACGGTCTTGTCTCCTGCAGCTTTTGTGTATGTGAGAGTCCTCTCTCCATGCCTGTTGCACTGACATTACTGTGGACATCCCAGCCACTCTCCCCAGGCTCAGGTGCATCCCTGTGCTGCAGGGAAGCAGTGCCACCTCGGGGCACTTTCCTGAATTGGGAAGCCTGCTAAAATTCAGTCAGCATTCACATTTTCACACTCCTGCAGTGCCAATCAGGTTTATGCTACCAGCACAGCTTTCCAAAGCTTGAACTACCTGCTGTGCTTTCTCCAGGTTATTTGTCACACTGCTTTAAAAAAATCTCTTCGAGTCCAAACACCTCTCCCAGCACCTCCATGGCCATTTGGTATCACCTGGTGAGCACTTGGGACATCTTGGTTTCCCCAAGAGCATAAGCCTGCCTTTTGGTGAAGTGCACAGCTCTACCCAGCTGTGCTTGTTCCTTCATCCAGGTTAGCTCTGAGAACAGGGCTGCTGTGGCTGTTCCGGTTATTTAATACTTTGCGCTTCAACCACCCTTGATGCGTTTGCTTGACTGCCACTCAGACAGGCAGCAGCTGTCATCAGGAATGAAATCTCTGCTGCTAGCAGCAAAGGCACGTATTTTGTCAGAAGTTTAGAAGGTAAGCTGCTTTGAGCACTATCTTACACTCTGTCTAGGGATGCCAGTGAAGTCAAGGTTTTCCTTTAAATTAAAAAAAAATTTTAAAAAATTAATTTAATTTAAAAATACCCGATTGCAGGTATTTTGTGTGGGGCCACTACTAGTCCCTGATATCAAACTAGCACCATATCTGAGTAACACAGCCCAAAATAACCACAATCATTGCATCTTTGTTACAACCTCCTTCTGTTACAAGACCTCTTCTGTATTACACTGATACAGAGTGTTACAGAAACAGCGAATAGTGTGGTTTATCATTTGCATGCCATCAATAAGCATGTAGAAGGCTGAATCAAGCAGAATTAATGTCTTCCCCAGAGCCAGATATTTTGGGCAGTGCTACATAATCCTCACCAATATCTCCTCTGCAGCTCCAGAAGAACCCAGGCATGAAGTCTACTTCTTAGTCTATTGCTTTTTAGTTTTTTTTTTTCATTTTGAAGCAGCAGCATGAAGCTTAGAGCCTTTTCCCATGTTTAAACTCTGCTGGTCCTCTTCTTCAGCAGCACACATTAGACATTTCATTCTCGCACACTTAAACGAGCAAGGGCTGTACAAAACCTGTGCTGACAGAACATCATCTTTGAGCGCATCCAAGCTGTGCCAAGCCTCAGGAGCATGATTTTAGAAACCATGGTACTTACAGAAGAAAAATTTTTCCCAACTTAAATAAGAATATAGCCTGTGGCCAGTTCAGAAAAGAGCAGTAGCCCCCACTGCTTCCTGTAGCAGTACTTGGCACAAACTGCTTGAACAATTTCTCATTCTGCACTTCCCAGCTGGGATCAGGGTAAAGATGGTGACTTCTGGTCAGATGCATTCGCTGGGCAGCTGTGTGGGCACATGCATTCAATCAGGAAAATTTGCTGTATTTCTTTTTATTGTAATAGAAAAAAACCCACAAATAAATCAAAACATCACTTTCTGCCTAAAGACATTATTAACATTTTTAAGATGGCACGGGGGAACCGCAGCAATACAAGACAGAATAGTAGGTGTGGGCAAAAGAGTTCTGCTCCCGTTCAGGGGTTCAGTTTCCCTGCCCCTTTGTCAATCAGCTGGCTGAAGTTCGTCACCAATATACACTTACATACACTTCTCAGTCTAGTTTATATTCAGCTGGGTGGAACATTGAGGGCACAGTCCTGCAATTTATACATAACCGTCTTTGGAGAAAATGGGTTTCCTAAGAGTCCTACAGCGTACAGGGGTCTTATTACCCAGTAAGACCAAGCAAACAGGATTCTCTCCTATAGCTCTTTTGCCATGAAACACAAGTGTAGGTCCCGAGCCCAGAAGGCCCCCCGAGGAGCTCCCTGGCTATTGCAAACAGTATATGGTTGAGTGAAATTTTACCCAGTGACCTTAAAGTAGGAGCATTATCTGCAAAGGGGCTGCTCAGGAGGGGAAAAGGCAGATTGCAAAATGCACAGGGTGAATGTCTTCCTTTTCTTTCCTGCCCCCTGAGAGGATGTAAAAAGTCCTGAAATAGGCAGCCAAGCAGAAACCAGGCTCAGGACATCTGAAGTGGTGGACACACAGGGCATATCCTCATTGTGAAAGAGTGTGGGGCAGAAACCATGGCACCAGTGCTTCCACAGGCAGCTGCACCTGAAGTGATAGTTTGCTGAAAGACAAGCAAGCACAGCTGTGCTGCTTGCAGGTACCAAACTAGCACACCTAGATGTTGGGCTGCACTGTAACAGCCTGAATATACCTGCTCAACTAAGGAAGGTCCAAGATCTCTAACACGATCTACAATGTTTTGTGGCACAGTCGTGTGCATTAAGATGAAAGGCTGGTTACTCTTCACAGAATAGGTATGAAAAAAGACTGGAGAGGATACACACACTAAACAGGAAAACTAAGCTATTGCCTAGCAGAAAACAAATACCAATCCTTCCTCCAGCAGCATCAAAAGGCATTCATAAATGACTTATTATAGGATGCTTTCTGCAAACAGGACACTTTGAGGGGGAAAGATTGAAAGCTTTTGTATAATGCAATCTATACTAACTGCTACCATTATATCCAAGTCCAGTCCATCAAATGAAATGCTTAAGGAGAAGTTGATGGCACAAGCAGAGAATGACAAGGAAAAGAAGCATCTGGGCTGCAGGGGCCACTGCTGTGCACTGAAAGAAGGTACACACAAAAACCTGCAAAATGGACTGACACTACCCTATTTCCATCTGTGCAGTGGCTCCACAAGTTGCAGGGCAACAGAGTATTTGACAGTGATGAAAATGCAGTTTTCTTCTATTCCAACCCCTCATAAATACAAACCATTATAGTCCAAACAGAGAAATAGTGTGACAAACTTATCAAACTGCATTATTCTGGGAGAAAGAACCCAGCAGAGGAAAGACACCTCCTTTTGGTATGCATAAGTTTCCAGTGCAGGAAGTTTGAGATGCAGGACTGAACTTGCAGCAACACTTTTCACAACAACGCACTGGACAAAGGGCTGTACATTTGCATAGATGCTTTTTCAGCAGCATCTGGGACGTGCAATCCCCATTTATGGAGCATCAGCAATGTTTTGGGGTTTGTCCGATGTCTTTCTTGTATTCCTTCCTAAATGTAACTGCTACAAAATTTTTCAGGAAAATAGTATAAATACATGCATGAAAAGAAAACAGTGTGCCTATTCTTTCATTCCCCTGTTCTTCTCCCACTGCAAATAATTGCAAAGCTATAAAAATCTTAAACTAGTAGATGCAGTACTGATACAATCTAAGGTCGATCTAAGGACAGGACTGCTTCTGCATGTTTCCCAAAAAACTCAGTTGCTCCATGGAAAGCTTAATTTTACTCTTCTTCATTTTCTTTACATTTGGGGAGACCTAGCATTTATTTCTCTTAAGCAGAGATGTCTCCTTTCTCTGATGTCGCGGACTGCTTTGGAAAGGGCAGCAATATCAATGAAAGTTGGAACTCCTACTGTGTCTGCAACCTGATATTGAATGCGGAATTGGTCCAACTTATATTATCATGCAGTTGCCATGCTATTCCTGTCTTACTGTACTGTAAGTCTGGTTTAGTAAGGAGAAAAACCCAAGAAAACACAGTTCTTATGCAAAGGTAAATAATTAAGAAGGTTCTGTCTATCTGTTGATAAGCTTACATGCGAGAAAAGGAAACATTTCACTTCACTTTACTTTCACCTGAAATTTGTTTCTACCACTTCCGCTCATGAGATTCTGTTCTTTCAGCTGGTTCTTTCCCATAACTCTTGGATCTGGCATTACAAGCTTCTTGGTAACCTTCAGTTCCAGCCTCCCTCCCACCACAGCAAGTTCCACTGAGTTCCAGCTCTTTCTTGAGTGTGACACTGACACATGGTTCAGCTTCATCACCTTTCCCACACAGCTGTGCCACTGCAAATATTCTAGTCAGATGAGTTCAGCTTCTCCCTTGAGCAAATAACAATGTCAGTGAAATACACAGAAGACTAATCCTGGGACACCTTCACTTCTTAGGCTACCAATACTTCCTTTGCCTTTTTTGCTACAGACTTCAGCAAAGACCCCCATAATACAGGCAGTGAGAGGAGAAAGAAATGCAAGTCTGCAAGGGATGGTTAGGACATCCCCTTATCTACTTCAGATTGTGTGATGGGCCCTTGAATGCTCATGGAATGAATTCCCACTTACCAGCACAGGAGTTACGTAGAAAGTCTCAGCCTACTCGACAAGACAGCCTTTATAAATTAGTAAAATGCTATTAAAAATTATGGCAATCTTTTTGGTAGCATTGTCTTACATGCACCCTGATAAATCCTCTCCCTAGGAAATTTTAAAACTTGTCTCGTAACTTCTCCAGAGTTAATTCTGATGGGAAATTATAAAATAGAAATCTGGTAAATTCATGTTTAAAAAGGAAGAGGCCTGGTGAGGCTGGGCACACTCGGTCACTCCTGTTAGCTCTGTCCATTATGTCTGCTGAAGGTATTTCCTCCGGGTGGCTGGATCTGGATGGAGTCCAGGAGGGGCCTTAAAGCTTGTCCAAAAGGTCTGAGAAGGTAAAGAAATAAGCATCTCAAATAGTTTACTTGATTAACAACTGTTCCCCTTTACTACTGAAGCTCACTCACTTCCTAGAGAGTGCAATCAAACCACCACTGTAGAAGCTAATTTGAAGAACTTCCACTACAAACTTAAGCAAACTAATTTAGCATAATAAAGACAGTTTATTGTTCAATAACTAAGGAACTTAAAATTTATTTAATATAAGCTAGTTCTGAGTCCTAACATGCCTAGACTGCTAATGTGGTAATACTGTGTCTGAAACTAGCTTTCAGTAATTCATTCTACTTAAGTGTGCAAACAAAATCCCTGTTATGCAACTGCAGTGTTCCATTAAGTACATCAATATTAAGATCTGCCAGAAGAATAGCCTCTAGCTCCCTTAAAGACAATGGATCAACACTCACAGAATAATCCCTGTTGCACTCGGTAGCACCTGGTTATCTTTCCATATGACTCATTCTGTTACAGGTTTTGAGACATCTGATATGTTAAGAGCCCAGGGCAGCAGACAAGTCTCCCAAATAATGTGCTATACTACTGTTATGAAAAATTAGGATCTACATGATGGAGCTCAAACCATCCCACTGGGATCCTCACTAGCTGAGAGTTTAAAAAAAAGAAGTTGATCTGAATTATCAGGCAGGAAATCATTTCTTCTTTTTCATATCCTCTTTTTGTACCCAGTGCTAGCTTTAAAACTGCAGCATTAATTTAAATATTACATCTCCCCTGCCTCGTCACAAGCAAAGCTGACACCTCCATTGCAATTATGGTGCTTAGAGAAGCAACCTTTAACAGATACTGGTTTCCTAAAAGAAAAAAACCAAACTCGCACTGTTTTCTGAAACTTTCTATGCTTGTCTGGTCACATATAAGAGACCACCACAAAATAAAAAACTAGGTTTAAGTAAAGACAGAAGAACAACCTTCTCCTGTCTTTGCAACATCAGTGCCAGTTAGCACTTGTGATATGGTGTTGTAAGTGTTCAAATAAATAGCATCTTCTCCTTAATCCTAGCCTGGTTCTTAGGCAGAGCCAGCAGAAACTGGTACTGCTCACTCTGTCATATGTTTAAGCGTTAGAATGAAGCAGCTACAGAGAGGACGGACATCCATACTCACGTGGAAAGAACTTCAGATGGAAGGTCAGTGATGTAGGAAGGGATTTTTCTTCCTGTCAGAAACTGTGCCACTTCATTACTGAAGGTGTTGCAGTTATGTTCAAAGAGGTTATAAGACTCTCCTCTGTGCCACAGAAAAGAAATTGAACCATAAAGACAGACTCAGCAATAAATCTTACAAGATGAAAAACTTAGACCCCTACTGAAGAACGTCTCCTTACATTAGCACCCCATTCCCCAAAGAATTCTAAGGCAAATAGGTAAAATACAGACATCAACTCACTCTCAAATTCAATTGAATCAGGGTGGAAAATGACATTTCTCTGCATCACTGACTTTATAACAATGGGTTTTGGGAGGATAAGTAAGGTCAGGTTTCATCACTTAAAACCACAGAAGTAATGAGAAATCACAGGAATTACTGACATTGAAAGATAGCCAGAACACTGAATGCTACAGTTTTCTATTCTTGTGAGAAGCAGACTCACTCAAGACCTTGCTTTTACTCATATGAAAGTTGGCAGCTTTACTACAGCACTTCACTTATGACTCATGGGGCAAAGTGCTATTTACTCAGAGTTTTTATTTTCCCTGGTGGTTCTCTCAAAGGTATTTCAGGCATTATTCTATTTTACAAAAAACAGTGTGAAACACTTCCCATGAGAATGCTTTCCCAGCCTAGCTCAAGGCTGGCACACCAGAGGGTTGCCTAGCTGGTAGCTCCTTGCGTATTGGTACATCAGTTCCAGTCTCATATTTGAAGAGTACCAAATAATACACTTAGCAGACAAAAGCTTTGTGAGCTGGACTGGTTTCACAGTACCTTTCTCCATTCTGTACTTTTTTGATATACAGATTTTCTAGTACAAGATGCTACTTACCGGAACATAGATTCCCCCAGAGAGGAAAGATACTCCAGAAAAATTTCTTCAGTGACTTCAGTGTTCCCCAGGTCAACAACTGTGTCCGGGGGGCCAAGAAGTGTCCCTCCCTGTAAAAATTAACAGCCAGAAGACAATGTCAAATGATCAGACTGAATTCTTTTGGACGACCCTACTGAATAGAGCTACTGTGACTTGTCCAGGCACAAAAGGAGGGCCTGCTGGTGTGTTTGTCGAGCAAGAAGACCTGCTGGTCTTCCCTCTCAAGAGAATGAGAAGAACATGCAATGTTCATTTCAGCTGTTACATTTGGCTCTTCAGGATGAAAGCTCTAAGCTGTAGCAAAATTCTGCTTTAGAACAACAGCTCATCCATTTTACTTCTCCCAGAACAGAAAGGTCTGAGAAAGCATCATGGTTTTGTTTTGCTTTGGTTTTATTTAATCTTAAAAAGTCTGCATGTAAAACTTAACAATACAGAATTGGACAAAATGTCACTCTTGCAATGCAGCTGCAGAAGGCGCACTGGATAGATAGATAGATTCTACCAGAAGAAGCAATCCCCAACCTGTATTTATTTGGACTTAAACCCACTGTTCATAATCCCTTTTCCTCAGGTGCCCTGGAAAACCATGGCAAGCAGCTGGCTTCACCCTCTGTCTTAATTTAGAAGTCTCTTGTTGCTTTTCTAAAAGACAGTAACACAAGCAATTCTGACCAGGTATAATAATATAATATAATATAATAATAATAATGGCCAGTCTTCGCGAGCGAAGATCCGGGGAAGGTCTTTACACCTTCCAGCCTGCGCATTGGATTTTTTAGGTGAGACACAGTGTGCGCGGAACTGAGCCCACCCTTTAATCCTAAGGTTCATCTGCCGGGGCCAAGCGAGCTTGGACGGTGGCAGCGAGGTCCTCAGGACGTAGGTGGGTTGCCTTTAAGTGCTAATGAGCTCCACCTGCCCGGGAGTGGCCCTGACCGGGAATCGAACCCGGGCCTCGGCGGTGACAGTGCCGTGCCCTTAACCACTAGACCACCAGAGGCTCCAGGTAATCCTATAAAAAATATCAGAAAATTTAAGTTTAACTTACAGGTGCACAGCTGGAAATTCCTCCACTGCCGTAGAAAAATTCATCCTTATGGACTATTATGGAGGTGTGCCTGCCACAGAGAACAAAAACCAGATGAAACAAAGGAAAAAAGGAAATAGCCTAGTACAGAAATCACCGGTACATTTATCAGCTCAAGGACATCATGAAGGGAATAACTGAAAGAAAAGGTCAATGTGTTTCTGTGAGTAGGAACAAGATCTGCTGGAACATAAATGGATATGGAAGCAACTATTATCAAGCCTACTGTAACTCTGTAAGCAGTTGGGAAAGAATAGGCTTAGTTAGGAGTCCAGGCATGAGCCTCCCTCAGCTGAGGGTGAAGTCACAGAGAGAGAGAGACAGAGCTACTTTGCTACCACACTGACAGAAGTGTATGTCAGAAAGACTTTGGCTGAGAAGCTGGTCAGACGACCACAGGAGATGAATCAGTAGAGGCAAAAATGGATGGACAAGGGTTTGGCGTTTTTCTTGCCTTTAAAAGAAACCCCAAACCCTCCTGATATGATATAAAAATTCTTGACATGAATTATAGCAAGCTGGGTCTGTTTTGTAACCAAAAGTAGTCACTGCTCTTATATGCCAGAAGGCCTGATTCTGTAATACCTTCTTCCCACCTACTCTTACTCTCATGTTTGGTCATGCCTGGAATTACATGACAAAGTACTTGGGACAAAGACAACATCCTACCCTTGAAAAAGTGTACAGGTGCACTAACAACACCTTTTTCCATGAGGTCCACTGAGCTTTGAATGGAAAGGTTTAACTAGCACCTGATTGTACATCATCTTACCATCAATCTGTATTCAGGAACAAAAAGTGCCTTGGTCTCTCTTCCACAATAAAATGTTCTTAAGATCTGAAGCATATATAACCTCATATTGAAAATGCTTCCTACACCACAGTGTTTTACACACATTATGCAATTTAAATCTAGTCACTTACCAGATGCCATCCAGCTGTTTCCCTGTATGCAGAGAAAAGAAGAGTTATTAGCAATGTATTTTCCACATTTCAGCCTACTTTCTATCAATCAGTTAAGAACCATGCTCAATATTTCACCGTGACAGCAACGCCAAAGATTTCATCAGAGAGATGTTTCTAAAAAAACCATAATGTCTTTCAAATTAACTACTCCATCCACATTACTGTTGCACTTTTTCCCTCCTGGCATGCAGAGGTGGCAATGCCATCCTATCCTGCCAGTGCTTACCTTCCTTGGGTGCTGTTCTACAGACTAAGAAAGGAAACCTTTTCCCAAAGTATAATCTTCAGTCAGGACCAGGAGAGCTGAATTTGATGCTGATTTCATAACTGCAGACAGTTGGCCAGCAGAGTGCATTCAGCTCTCTTTTTCAGTAACTGATGAGAGATCTGACTTGAACATATGATCAATAGTTATCACTATCTATAATCTGTTCCACGGTTTCCTCCTTTCCCTCCCTCCCCCTGCCTTCAAAAATTAGCAGTTTAAGTGGGAACTGGGGTAGAAAAGTGCAGGGTTGAAATTTATACAAGTTATAAAACTCTGTGTTTTGTAGAACACAGAAGCAAAGACTTGCTTCAGACACCACTAAACTAATTGTGTCTGAGAGAAAAAGTCCCTCCCAAAATGTATTTCCAGTTCCCTAGGAGTGGGTGATCTAAGCCTCTCTATGCTCAAGATTAAACCTCTTTCCAAAAGGTCACCAGCTGTTACTGTTCTAGGCTCAATTGTCTATCATAACCTAAAAGCTTAGTCCCTGGTACTGTGCCCCTTTGGGAGCTTGCAGGCAGCCAGGCAGCCACTTTGTGCTGTGACACGTCACAGATGCTATAACTTTATTTTGTCAACAAGGTGCACAACACCCAGAAAAGCGGATTTAGAATGTAACAGCTGTATGCATACCAACACTTGGTATTCTCTTGAACCCAAGCAGGAGGCTGAGTGCTCCTCTGCCACAGGAAAAACAATCACTAACACATTTTTTTCCGCTCAAGTCTGAAGCAAAATAGGGACCTGCTTCAGATGAGGGTCATGTAAGAGCAGAGGCAGGGAAAAGGCTGTTGTGACAATAGAGACATCAGTTGAAGCGAGTGCACGTAGTTCTGAAGTAGGTGGACTGATCTGTCACTCCCATGGATCACAGCCAGGCAGCAAGCATATTCCCTGTCAACCCGTCACACAGAAACGTAGGCATGGAGTAGGATGAAGGCCAAAAGAGAGGAGCAATGATGAGAGAAGCAGAGCAGTGTGTTGCAGTATTTTAGGAGCACTTGCTGGCCCTTTAGCATGTCCCACCATTGTGCTGCTTGATCCTTTGGCCTTTGTTCCACACTTCCCCCATCAGGTTTCACCTTGCACTCTAGAGCTGCCAGAACCCAGTGACACTGCAGCAATACAAGGCAGGGTTTAACTTTAGCAGCACCTGCCCTAACTTTAGCAACTGGCCCATGACAGACTCTACTGCTTGGTTTTGCATAGATCTCTCATCAGAGAGATCTGGTTTTGCATTGTTCTGTGTATCTATAAACAAACTTACTTTTGCACACATTTGCAGCAAACAATGATGAAAGGCTTTCCACAGAACTGCTGCTCTGTAGCTAGACTCTGTATGCAGGTGAAAAGAGTTACATCAGATCTGACAATGTCACAGGTGCTGCCAGGACCTGCTCGTGCAATTGCAGTACCTACTTGAAAAGATAATTGCAGCAAAGGGTACACATTAGGCTGCTCTAGCAAAACTGCAGACAGCAGCTCAAGGGGAGTGACTCTGTCCCCCTGTTTGACACTTGAGAGGTCACATCAGGAGTGCTGTGTCCACTTTTGGATCCCAGCAGTATAAAAGACACTGACATACTGGGCTGTAACACCTACTGTATTGAAGAGGAGTAGACAAAACTGGTCTGTTCATATTCATGAAGAGAAGGCCAAGAGTCCTTATTCCTTTCGACAAGTATCTAATGGATATGGATGAAAGAGACCCTTTTTCTACTCAGAGATGCACAGTGAAAGACAACAGACACCAGCTAGAAAATGGGAAATTCACAATTCTGTAAAAAGCAGGGAAAAAATTATCATGAAGGCGATCAAACACAGGGACAGGGGTCCAGAAAGCATATGGGATATCAACCCTTGAAGATACTCAGAACTCAGCTGCTCGGGGCCCTGAACAATCTGCTCTTGTCAGCTCTACCTTGAGCACAACCTCCAGAGGTCCCTTTTCACCGAAGTAATTCTCTGACTGTATGAAAAAAACCTCAAACAGAATTTAAGAAATAGATTTTGCATTGGACTACAATCCAATCCTTACTGCTACATGAGAAATCTGTAGCGGTCCACAGGCAGCAACTGCCAGGGCAATAACAGAACAGCTTTTGGCAATTGAAGCTGCCTGTCTTCACAAGGCAGGTCTGTCTGAGGCAGCTCAGCTAGGTCAGTCTGTGCCAAGCACTGGTTTGAAGATCTTAATGAAGCTGCAGACCTGCTACTTCTGCTTGGCTCCTGTAAGTCATTAACGAAGCTGGCATTGTGGAAAACACATGACAGATCTGCAGCACTGATGACAATAAGGCATCCGAGGTAGCTCTCCCGTCTGCTGCAGACAAAATAAAATCCCTTTCTGCCACGGGCAGACTGTGCTTGGTCAGAGGCCATGCAAGTGTCTCCAATGACAACACTGTTGGAGAATCCCATGCCTAAGAAACTTGCCATTATTGGCCACATATGCATCACCCAGAGACATCTGAGACCAAGAACTTTTGGTATGCTGCTGCAGTATCCCAGGCTTCAGAGGTGGCTGTTGTCATCTCAACTCCAAACTGACCCACAGAAGAATAAGTCAATGGCTACCAGCTTCTGAAGTACTTGGGCAGCCCCCTTTCCTACTGTTCAGTAAGAATCTCAATGTTGTTTGTCTGTTGCATCATATGAGGTTACGTATAAACCTTCATGGACACAATCATCTTCTTCCTCAAGTTTTGCCTCTGATGGGGATCCTCCTCTATGACTCTTCTTGCCCTTCTCCCAGACTCAGACTCTGCACAGCACAGGTGACAGCTCACCACCACTGCCCCTCCTGAAAAGCTCAGGTAAAGTGATCAGGGCAGCCTGCACTAAGGATAAGGAATTATGTCTTGCTTTCTGCTGGACATTGCCCACTATGTACAAAACACGCTGCCCACTGCCTCTGAAGGCTTCACACACACAACAGCCCCAACAGTGTGACTCAGCAAGGATACAGTATTGTTCTAAGTACTAAGGCACAAGTTATACCCAGGCCTTGCAGTGACACTTTCCAATAAAGTTCAAGTGTGCCATGAACCTCCCCAAAGAATCCTACAGTGCAATAGGGCTTACATCTCGTAGTCAATTGAGGGGTCTAGAAGAAGGGACTGCAAATACCATCTGGGATACTGGAAGACATTATCACATTTCATGCTCTTCCACTCCTTGCCACAACGCGCCAAATTCCTGTTGTGCACTGCAGTGTGGGCAGAACTGTATGTTGGTACTGCCACCAACACCAACACATTTACTCATAACCCGAGGCTGTCTATAACTACATAGGAAAACCTGATTCTCCAGTAATTTCCACTGGAGCTGCAAAAGCCTTTGCAGCCTTAAACTGCAGATGTTACCCTTCACTCAATGCCAACAGTAAAGCTAATGCAAAGGATGCACATGCCCCTAATGCAGAACAGGAATGCTCTGATGAGATGATACTCTTCTGGTCACCTAGTATATCTGAAGGGAGAGTGTCAAGAGGATGGAGCCAGGCTCTTCTCAGTGGTGCCAAGCAATAGCACAAGAAGCAACAGGCAGAAACCTGAAATGCACAGGAAGTTCCACCTGAACATGAGGAAGAACTTCCTTACTGTGCAGGTGACTGTGCACTGGAAGAGGCTGTCCAGACAGGGTGTGGAGTCTCTCTCACTGGAGATATTCAAAAACTGCCTGGACACAATCCTGTGTCATGTGCTCTAGGATAGCCCTGCTTGAGCAGGGAGGTTGGACCACATGACCCACTGTGGTCCTGTCCAACCTGACCCATTTTGTAATTCTGTTCATCCAGGTAAAATGCGGAAACAGCAAGATGTTCAAGAGTTTGAATATTTCGAGGGACAGAGGGTTGTTGAACAGGAAAGGTTGTTGCAAATTTAGATGTACACAATCACACAACACTTAGTGCACATGGTCAAGTTATTAGGTATCAGCTCTCCCACAGAAATTGCCTGTGTGCAAGCTCAGCCTGAGGTAAATGTGAAGCAAATCAGCTTAGTTTGATCTGCCTCCGTTCCAAGGTAATGCAAGTCAAGCTACCTTGTTGTTGTCATAGACCACAAACATGAATGCGAAAAGTTACCGTGTTGTATCTGTGAGAGTTACGGGTGATAGCTTACAAGTCTTTGGAAACTCGATAATTAAATCTTTTGGGTGGTGGTTTTTTTTGGTTGTTTTTTTGGTTTTTTTTTTTGTTTGTTTTTTTGTGGGGATTTTTTGTTTTGTTTGGGTGTGGTTTTGTTTATTTACTTTTTCTTTTTTTTTACTTACTGATGTGCTTCATGGCTCTTTCCTGAATATGCTCACTAGAACCTGGGAGGGGATGTCAATTCAGCTTTGATGTGTGCTTAAGCATCTCAGAGACTCAACTTGTTTCAATAAGGCAGAGTATTGTCTGGCAAGATAACAAGGTTTTATATTTGTTATTTTTTTCTTTATAACATTCATAGCTCAAATATTTTTCATGGTGCTTACATGAGCCAGAAACCTATTAGAAAAATATAACATACAAATTCATTAAACAATTCCAGGACCCTCAGCTTAGTCAGAGGAATGTGGAGAATAAAGTATTTAGATTTGTTTGTTGTACAACTGATTCAGGAGACTATAATTGTTTGGATACAGGGGTATTTTGAAAGAAGCAAGCGAGCCCATATTATTTTAGAATACAATCAAACAGGATTACTTCCATGCTTGAATTTATTTGGAAGGCCAAGCACAAGGGAGATTAGATGCTCACCAATCTATTTTACCATTACAGTAATTTGTTAATCTTGATGGCCAAATAATTCATGCGAATTTTAAATACTGAATGAAAGTGGCATTTGTATATTAATCCAAATTATTAGACTGAAGGGCAGAAGAGTTCCAAGACACGAAGGAAGGAATTGTATATGCAGATGAGTATCTAGTTTAACCCATTCAGAGTTTAGGCAATTCAACCCTCAGTGCAAGAACAGTGCCCTTTGAGCTGTAAAGTAAAGAAATAACAGGAAGCTCAGTATTTTTATCTATGCTCTGCAATGGATATGCAAGCCCAAGAAGACCATAAAAGACTGTAAAAAAAGTAGCGAACTGGTCTCCTGTGGAATCGAAAGCAATACAGTTTGGTCAACCAGCATGGGTATTTCTAGCAGTGCACTGCTTTGCATATTATTGTAATTTTCTTAGACAATCCATTAAGATTCCTGTCTTTTTTGAATTGAAAATTACCCTAATTAGTGAAGCACTTTCTCCTATGTGCTACCCAGGGTGCTCAACCAAAGCAAAAAAAAAAATACCTCCAGAACCTAATGGAGAGGGAGGAGCCTGCTTCAGTTCCCTTCTTGAGAGGCCTAGAGACCAAGAAATAGGCTAGATTGGGGGAGGGTAATGCACTTGATTTTCATGAAATCCCTAGCAAATGCTTGGAGCAAAGTTGATGGAATCTCACGCTGAAGCAATTCAAAACTGATCAGAACAGATGGAAGAGAGGCAGAGAAATGTGCTGGGCCTGGAAAAAAAGGAACAGAGGAGAAGGCACCTCCTTTCAGCAGTTACCTTTTGCTCCAATTCTCTCTGGGCTGTTAAGTCCCTACAGCTAAATGCACCACTTAAAAGATTTCAACCAATACCTACTCCCACTCAACTCCACATTAATTTGTACTACACTGAGCCAAAGCTGCTGTGGTTAATGAAGCTCCAGGCTCCTTCTGTGAGTCACATGACCAATACCCTCAATTACAGGACAGGAGAACTTTGAGAGGCACAAGACATTTTTCTTTAAGCTCATGATGCAACAGGATTTTAATCTTCCTTAAAGATTTCTCTGCCCTTGGACATCTACTTCAAAATCAGCACTGTAAGCTGAACTGTTTTCTTTTCCTCTTTCCCTCCACAGAATCAGGAGGATTACGTTTTCTGTCTTGAAAATAGAAATCTTATTGCATTCAGGTTAACATTTCTTATTATTAGATCACATAGTTGGACAGACAAACGTAGTTACACACTGAACGTGGGGGAAAGAGCAGGAATAGTACCCGTAGAGAAGTTGCATGTAGAGCAACATAAAAATTAAAAGTGCTGTTTCTGACACCAAAGGCAATATTTGGTCACGTATACTTCAGAACAGAAATATTCACTGAAAAATTATAAGAAACTTACAGAAAAGTAAGAAGAATAAAAGCAGTCTGGGTAGAGAAAGAGTAAACTTGCCAAGAAAAATGAAGATGTGTCCAAGGGACATGACTAAGTCACTCCAAAGCCTGCTATGAACAGGGCTGTACAGCTCTGCCTTCCAGGCTCATCACTCAAAGGCAACAGAGAGAACTGACACTGAAAGAGTCAGTACAACATTCAGTAGTGAGAGCTGATCCTTGAATGCTGTGCTGACATAATCCACAATACCTGTGGATCCTATTAGCACAACTGAAGACACTGTGTAGAGATGCTCTTGCAGTGGTCAGTCCCATAAGACAGGATTCATCCCCCTCTGGCAAGGGGACCTGAGTTGCTGGTTTTGAGCCTGTTAGAAATTGATTCTAGCACAATCAATTTCAGTATTTGTTTTTTCTCTCTAAAACACATGTATTTCAATACAGGCAATGTTACGGAATTATCACTCAAAGCAAAAGCATTGTTTCAAACTTGGCATCAATGGGAAGAGTACCATAAGTAAAGATGACCAACATTTAGCACTTAAATGCTTTCCTCTTCAATTTCATTGACTTTCCCTGATGATCTACGGTTTAAGAACATCACTGAGGGAAAAAAAGTGAAAAAATAGCTATTGAACATCTCAAAGTTGATATACAGAGAAATAGCAACAATTTTTGTTGTTCTTCAAGAATAAAAAGGTCTACACATAGGCAAGAGGAGTATTCTCTCCACCACTTTGCCTTGGGGAGGTTTCCAAAATCACCTGGAGATATGACAGAGCTGAGTGTAAATGCACAGAAGACACTTAACTTGAAGGAAGGCAGAAAGAAAGAAAGAAACAGTGATTTGTTTTACGGAAAACCCCATCACTGGATCCACATAATCTCTAATATTCTGCAGTCTGCATTGTCACTGTGACCACGCAGGCCTAGTTGGCCCTGTTCCATGAGCACGTCTGAGCTCGGTTAGTTACCAGGCAGTACTAGTGAGCAGCACTTCCCCGGCTACCCAGAGAAGCGCTCAGGGTTTTAACTTTCCCTTTTCAGTGCTCAGACTCCTAGAAATTTAGCGACAAACTGTATCACAAGTGCCAAGCTTACAAATTGTTGTTTGGGTAGCATAGAAAGCACCAAAAATGAAGTAATGCACTAAGCATTTCTATGTGGAAGTTCAGAAAGCCACTAGAAGGCAAAATTTACTTTGTGGGTAAGAAGAGAGCTAAAAAGACACATACAGTGACAACCTATTTCTGGTGAAGTCTTTGCTTGGACCAAGACTTTGAAATAAGACTAGTTAAATTCTGCTCAATTCAAACACAGGTAAATCCTGCATGTATGTAATCTGCATCTTAAGATTTCTAACTCTAAGCCCAAGATAAAACATGCCTATTATGACCTAACAGGTGAGAAGTTACTTCCCTAAGGGCTACCATAGAAGCCACTCTGACCACACAAAAAGTTTTGAGGTTATCCAGCGCAGGAAACACACATCTCCCAAAGCTTCTGCTGCTGTCTGGCTAACAGAGAACATCACATATGATCTCTATAGTGTTTTCTTCTCAACTTTGCAAGCCTATCGTTGACATGCATGAAACTTCACGCCAACAGTTATCTGGATTTTCATTTTAAGCTTGCAGGAAAGCACAGAATCTCTTCGTAGGGCAGATGAGCAAAGTGCCAGCAAACCATAAACCAAGATTACACAGAACCATCTGTTCAGACATTGAGCCTGTTGATAAGTCTTATCCCACACAGACTGCTTGTCTGACACGGGCCAGAGTCTACACATAACAGGTATAAAACATTCTCTTGTTGCATTCCTAATTCATGCTTCCAAAACCTCCACCAAAACCTAAGTTTGGTTCGTGTCCCAAGTCCAAGGTTCAGCAGGAAACGCACGCATTTTTGACAAGACATAGACCAAGATCCTACAAACTTTCCGAAGGAGAGAGCGGACGGGCACATCGCCAGCCCAGCCCGGCCTCGCCACAACATGGAGCCGCTTGAACTCTGTAACCTTGTAAACAGCGGCCGCCTTTCCTCCACCAGCTCAGCCTTCCTGCCGAGGCGCCACGGCAGCCGGGCCGTCGGGAGCTGAGCTGTCCCTCCCTTCAGGAGCTAAGGAACAGTTTTAGTCTGCCTTTAGTGAATACCACAGCGCAGCGGTAACGGGCAGATGCGGGAGAAGGGAGTGGACCCAGCGCAGCTGGAGCTGCCGCACCGGCCGAGCCGGTCCCGTTGACAGCGGGGACAGCGGCTGCAGCCAAACCCCGCCGAGGCCCCGCACCGGCCCCCGGGCCAGCCCCGCACACCCCGAGCGGTGCTGTGCCCGCCGGCCCCCGCAGCGCCCGGTGCGCCCTCGGGGAGCCCTTTCCCGGCGGGCCGCTCCCTCGGGAGCGCGATGCCGGGCGGGGATCGCCACTCCCGGGGCTGGAGGCGGCGAGTTGGGCGCCGTTAGCGGGCACGGCCAGGCCGGGCCGCAGCGGCCGGTGCGGGACGCGAGCGGCCGGGAGGCGGCGGGCGGGGCGGGGTGGGACAGTGCCGGTGCCCGCCGTGCTTACCCAGCATGAGGGGGCTGAGGCGCCGGGCCATGCCCTTGGACAGGTCGTACACATAGAGCTTCACGGGGTGCAGCGCCAGTGGCTCCTCCATGGGGGCGCGGGCGCGGCCGCCGGGCGGCAACCGGAGCCCCTGCAGGCAAGGTGGAACGGCCGTTCCCTCCGGGAAGCGGCGGAGAGCGGGGGAACAGGCGGCGCCGGTGCCGGTGGCGGGTGCGGCGACACCGGCCGGGAGGTGACAGACGGGGCGGAAGGGGCGACCCTGCCCGTGCGCATGCGCAGCCACCGCGCGCCGGCCGGGCCGCCCCGTCACTGAGCGGCTCTGCGGGGGGCGGAGCTAGGGCGGGGGCGGGGCTGGGCAAGACCTCCCGTCATTGGCTGAGGCTCGGAGCCGAGTGCAGCGTGGGCGGAGCTTCCTCCTTCGGCGTCCCCTCCGCAACCAATCCTCGCGGAGGCAGGAGTGGCCTCTTGTTGGAGGGGCGGGGCGAAGCGCCTTTTCGCTCTCGCCATTGGTCATCGTGGCTGCGGTGGGCGGGGTCTCCTGGGGAGGGGCGGTTGTTCGGGAGGGGGCGGGGCCGGCTGTCGCGGGCGCTGCGTGTGTCGCGACCCACGCGCGCCTCTGTGGTGGCCGTGCCGTGGGAGCCATGGCGGGGTGGGGGTCGTTCTACCGGGGTGAGGGAGCCGATGACGAGGAGGAGGAGGAGCAGCAGCAGCAGGAGGAGGGAGCTGAGGCAGTCGGTAAGGGACCCCCACCCGCTCACGGAGGGCAGCCCGGGGCCTGCCCTCGGGGGTCCGCGGGTGGAGGGGGTCCCTGCTAAAACTGTTTCCCCCCGTTCTATAGCGGACCACAGGTTCGCGGGCCGGGACAGCCTCATCTTCTTGGTGGATGCCTCCAAGGCCATGTTTGAGTCCGACGGGGACGCAGAGACTCCCTTCGACATGACCATGCAGGTAAGCTTCGATGAACTGCTACTTGGCAAAGACAAAACTTTCGCACCCTTTACTGTAAGTTACTTTTTTCATATTTTGCCGTGTGTGCGTTTTTTTTTTTTTAGTGCATCCGGAATGTGTATACCAGCAAAATTATCAGTAGTGACAGAGACCTGTTAAGTGTCGTGTTCTATGGTACAGAAAAGAACAAGAACTCAGCAGATTTCAAGCACGTCTATGTTCTTCAGGAGCTGGACAATCCAGGTAACGTGATATGAAGGTTGTGTAAAGGTGGTGTAAGGAAATCTGTGTAGCAGCAGCATTGTTGGAAACTGATCTCTTTAAAATCAGAGTTATTGGACAAATATGTTCTTATTACTGAAATTTGTTGGTGGCAGTGGAATTAGATTTAGAAATTTATGGAAATCTTAGAAACTTTGCGAGAGTTTAGATTTTTCTCTTGTAGTTGGTTCAGATCCTTTTTCTGTGTCTTCTATTTTAATGTGGTGTTCACTTGCTAAACCCAGGAGGATGTCAAGAGAACTCTTAAAAGCCGATCACGTGTCTACTGCACTTCAGAAAAGTGCATGTCCATGCTAAGGCACATGGATTCCAGTTGGTGATGAGTATCACAGAATGGCTGAGATTGGATGGGTTTCCAACCCTCCTGCTCAAGCAGGGTCAGCTAGAAAGGTGTCCAACATGCTGGCCTGTTTGGGGTGTTCCATTTCTTGTTTTCATAAGTTCTGCAATTCTCGAATTTCACTCTTTCGTTTTCTTAGAATGACATAGCATATGCTTGATAACAAGTGCCAGTTGCTGAACTGGAAAAGGCAGTAGGAGGAGTGCAAAGAATTACATGCTAGTGGTGACAGATTCTCTTGATGGTGGAGTCTTGTGGGGGGATTTTGTCTACAACTTTTAATAGCAGCCTTTATCTCTGAGGAGGTTTGATTTAATTTTCTTAATTAGGGGGTGCAGGTTTAATGACGCAGGGGCAGCAAACTGCCTTATGCTTCTTGTTCATCCTTTTTCCTCCTCCTTCCCTGCTTGTTCTTTTCCCACTCTCAGAAGCAGTAGTCTCACCATGCTGATAAAAACAGCACAGGTGAAAGGTGGGTGCTGTTAAAAAGGAAGAGAATTGTATATTTTCTGCCTCTAGAGAGCAGTGTGCTCTGGAGAAGGAAGAGATACTAGAATTAGTTATTACAAAATTATGAACACTTATACTAATAATTAAAGGGCAGCTGAGGAAATGAAAATAAAATAGTAAAGGGAGGGGAAGACATTTTCAGATGAGATTTCAGAAGCGCTATAGAGTTTAAGTGAATGACAAAGGAAGAAGCTCTGCAAAATACAGTAGCTCCCTTTGTAACATAATGGGAGAAAACAGAGAAAGTGCTGTTAGGCAGGTGGGAAAAGGAGTCGTTGGGCTGGAGTAATCCTCAGAGCTGTAACAAGGCCTAAATATTGCTGTGACCCCTGTGGTGAGCCATGGGCTGTGTCTGACCTGTGCGTGGATTCTCTCTGACATGAGAGGCAAGGAAGGAGCAGAAGCTCCACCTTCCCAGCATGCTGTGGAGATGCCGGATGCATTTCAGGCTCCTCTCCTTTCTCTGGTGGTGCAGCAGTCTGCTGAGCCTCTGCAGCTGGTGCCATTGCTGCCTTTCCTGCTGAACCCTTGTCCTTTCAGTGTGAAGGGTTTGCAATACTTTGAGCCCTGTCTGTTTCCCTTCCCAAAAGGAAGAGTCCACAGTGGTATCAGGCCACTTTGTGTCGTCTTGGCCCTCGTAGGTGCTTTAAGTGGTAACCAGCTTGTGATAGTGCAAATGTGAGGCAATGCTGCACAGTTTCTCAGCCAGGTGTTGCAAGGGCACTGCCACAGAGGTGTCAGGGACAGTATTTGGACATCAGAAGCGAGGGACCCCAAGGTGCACATTTAGAAGAGCTCGTGATACGTCTTTCAGTATTTCTAATGCATTTGAATGCTGTTCCCTCCTTAGGTGCAAAGCGTGTTCTAGAGCTGGACCAATACAGGGGGGATGAAGGACGAGCACTTTTCCGTGAGAGCTTTGGCCACAATGCCGACTATTCCCTGGGGGAAGCGCTCTGGGCCTGCTCCAATCTCTTCAGTGATGTCCGAGTGAGGCTGAGCCACAAAAGGATCATGCTCTTCACCAATGAGGATGACCCTCACGCCAATGACAGTGCTAAAGCCAAGCTGGCCAGGACCAGAGCTGGGGATCTGAGAGACACAGGTCGTTATTTTCCCCTTTAATTTTCAGGCAGTATAAACATGTTATATCCTCGCAGCAGATGTTAACTGCATTGCATGTTTGTGATGGAAAAAGAATGTAAAATCACCAGAACTGGGGAATCTTTCTGAAGCTTTCTAAAAATTAGAAATCTGTTATCTCATGTGCTATCAAATAACTAGCACTTACTTTCTAGGATCTCTTCTTCTGCTTTGGTAGCATATACTGGGACATGAGAGGGCTGAGAGAAGCAAACTTTTTGTTGTACCATTTTCCAGGAAGGGAATAATAACACAAAGTTAACACAAAAGAAAAATTACTTTCATGGCTTCATTTTTAATTAGCTGAAGGACATCAACCTGAGCTCAGAGATTAGACATCAATTGCCTCATTAGTTCAACAGTGTAGCTGAGATAACCAGTGTTTTCAGAGTTCAGCAGATGTCCTGGATCTAGTAGCTGTGAGGCTTCCTTAATCCTGAGGCCTTATAACTAAAGGAAAGGGGATTTTCTGAACTCATTACTTACTTCTGTGCTTGAGGTAAGATTATGTTTTATAGGAGCTTGTCAGAGCTGTTTCAGACATAATATGGTCGAGATTCTTAATTAGGGAGGAATGATTTTCTATGCTGCATTATTTTCACTGAAATTAAGGAATGTCTTCTGCCTTTTTCCCTAGAAAATTTTGCATATGGTGCAGATGACAATTTGGAGCTTATTCCTGCTGAAGTTATTTGGGTAGATAAGGAAATCTGAGAGTGCTGAGAAACGTGATAATGCAAGAAAAAAGCAGTTTCTGATCCTCCTGTTATCTCCGACTTTGTTTCTAGGAATTATCCTGGACTTGATGCATTTGAAGAAGACGGGAGGGTTTGATATCTCCTTGTTCTACAGGGATATTATAAATGTAGCAGAGGATGAGGACCTTGGGATCCAGCCCAAGGAGTCAGAGAAACTGGAACATCTCATGAAGAAAGTACGAGCGAAGGAGACAAAGAAACGGGCTTTAGTCAGGTTTGTGCCTAGTTATGATACATCATTCAGGGGAGGCACCTGATGTTATTTTTAGACTGCGTCTCATCTCCCTCTTCTGGAGTGATTGGTCCTTAATGGCATCAGTGCTTACATTCCTCAGTCCTAATACCTTAATTCAAGATCGGTGTTTCTTCCATAGCTTGCAAGGATATTTGTCCTTGGGGGATGAGAAGAGCAGAGAGTGAAGCTACATCTCCTTTTTTCCTCTGTGTGGCATCTCCTGTATTGAGCTTATCAAAAAATTACATCATTGCCAAATACTTACCTGAAAATCTGCATCATGGAAAATAGTTTATGGTGAAACCTGATTGAAGTGAGGCTTTTCTTGCTAATGTTAATTTTAAAAAATTCATCTGAACGTGACTAGTAGGTACTTTGGCCTATTACTAAATAATTATATGTGGCCATTCTGTCTAGGCACTGTGGATTCATACAGCCTTGATATTTCTGATCTCCTACTGAAAGATTAGAGATACTTACAGAGGATTAAAGGGATCTTGACAAAGCAGACAGGAAGTATTTTTGGAACCACGTACTCTGTAACAGTTGTTTTTTTAATGAGTGATTTCGTAGCAGAATGATGTGGAAGTGCAGTAAGGGAATGAACTTCAAGGCCTAGTGTTTTTTTTTTTAATAAATATTTAAAAAGTCCCGAACTGAGTTGCTGCCGTTGCCATTCTTCTCCTGCTGACAGCTTTATTTTGCTTTTCTGAGAATGTTCCTGAAGTTTTCAAATAACTGGGGAGGAATAATCTTGTACCAGTGATACATTTTGGAAGAGGGAAAGTAACATGCATAGTAATTCACTGTTCTGCTCTCAGAACTTGAAGATGACCTGTAATTTTAACCTTTTACTTCTGAATTTTTCTCTGACTTCTGATTAATTTTTTTTTTTAATCATGGTATTGTTTGTCTTGATGGGATTCTTTTGGGGACTTCTGCATTTTGCTGAACAGCTGTGAGAGTTCAGAGTTCATGTTATGTTTAAGCACAAGTGGGGTACCCAAATGTGAACTTACCCTGTGGTCTGCTTGAGCATAGCTGTCCTTCTGAGTGA